GGGGGGGGGGGAAATCAGCGCCCAAAGTCTCTTCTTTTTCTCTCTTCCTTCCCTGCCTCGCTCCCAAAGATACACGCCAAGCGGCTTTTCACTTTTGCGGGGAGCACGGCGTGCATCACTAACGTAACGGTGTTTCGCTCCAAAATAGGCCACGGTTTTAGAGGGGCTTCATCCCAGAGACGTGATTATTTGACACCGGTGTGGTCTCGAATGTTCCGGGCAAAGTAAGCGCGCGGAAGTGTAGAAATGAATCTTCACTTGGCGAAACTAGACTTGCTTCGGTAACAACGACCACCACACAGATTTCCCGCCCCAGCCTCTATCCCCACGATAAACCACTCCCTTCCCGACAGTGAACAATGTGTATATGATGCTACGTCGCCGGGTCACTCATTCCCCGGACGAAGAAAATCTTTGCTCCGTTCTTTTAGGCGGCGTTCCCTCTTCTTCAGCGGCGACGCCGGTGTCCGCATGACAGCAGTTACCACTGTTAGGACGATCGGCGCGATGCCGCGACATAGGGAATAATCCCCCCCCCCTGCATTCGTTCTCCCGCCTGCCTGCTGGGGACCTACAGCACGTAAAACTCTCCCTCGGTGTGACTCAGCTGGCATCGTCGAAACAACCACCCCAAAGCACAACCTCCCAACAGACCCTGCGATTTTCAGCACCCGCCGCCTCAACACACCCCCCATTTCCCTATCTGCCGTCGAGCCGACCACCGTCAGAAGTGACTCCGAACACAGGCGGCGGAGAGACAGTAAGTAAAGGAATAGGGCGACGACGGGAGTTACGGGGAAATCGCAGCCGTACACTGGCACCGTCGGCCAACGTGCCGGCCCGTCCCGCGAGCAGGGGGTTTTCCACCGCTGTGAAAGGCTTTTGTGTTCGTGCCCGGGAAGGGTCCTCCGGTCTTTGCCAAAAACAGGTCGACCAAGACGTCGAAAAGGGCAACCATGAACAACAGACCTCGACCACGGATAACGGTATACACCCGTTCCACAGATGCGAGGACCCGCTGGCGAGCTGCTAACGGTATCGTCGTGGCTTTGGGGGTGGCAACGACCGTGACAAGAGGTATTCCACCACCAACGGCGCCGGCAGGCAGGCGTCACAGAAGAACCCCACCGTCATCGTCCTCGTCATCGTCGTCATCGTTCCCTCCCGGGCCATCCCCGTCCCCCTCTACATCCATGCTGCTAACGTTTGCGGTAGCAGAGGGAGTCGCCGCCGCCGCTGCCGCCGCCCCAGAACCAACAGCTCCCTTCTCCGGACTTGCCTCAGCTTCAGCGCCGCCGTCGGTCTTTGATCCCACGGAGGATGCCTTGTCTCCCTCGTGCTCCCTCTGATCCCGGGCCGCCAAGCTTTTTTCGCTCGCCGACTCCGTCTTCTCCACGACAGATCCGTCGCCACCGGTAGTGGCAGCGTCAGCCCTTGCCTCTGCAGCCGCGGGGCAAGCGTCGGAGACCACTGTCGGCTCCGCCGCTCCTCCTCCCTTTGCCGCCGGGCTGGTCGTCGCTGTCTCTTCGGGCGATAGATCCGCCGTGCCCGCGAAGGGCGGCGTGAGAGCCGCGTCAGAGGCCGCGGCCGCTAGCTTCGACACTGCCGATGCAGGTGTAGCCACTTTCGGAGTGTTCGGCTTGGCCGCTGGCGGCATGACCACCGGCGACCCAACCACCGCCCTGGCGGCAGCAGCAGCAACAGGTGGAGCAGCAGGTGGAGCACTAGCGGCCGCCGCCAAAACCTTGGGGAGCGACTCGCTCGCGCTGCCGCCGCCACCGCCGCTGCCGTGGTGCGATGGAGAGGAAGCGACGACGACGCACTCGCCGCCGACGTCCACGACCGGCCCCTCTTCGGCGTCGTTCCCTACCGCTGACGTCGCCGCCGCCGCCGCCCCGCCCACCACACCCGAAGGAGGAGGCGCGGCTGCTGCTGCTGCTGCGGCGGCGGCGGTGGCCTTGAAACCACCGCCGTTCTCCTTAATATCTTGCGCGCTACTGCTTCTCCTGACGGCTAAGTTCCGGCTGCCGCCCTCGCCGCCGCCTGCCCCCTGAAAGGTGGGACCGGGAGCACCTCTACCAACGCTAACGTGTGCGGCGTGACCGGCGCCGCTTCCGCCATACGCCCCAGCAGCAGGAGGTTCGGACGTGCCGTTACCGATTTGGCCCGGGACGCCGTGGAAATGGGGAGCGGTGGCGGGCGCTGCGGGGAACGAGCCCTCCTGTAGCGCGGACTTGGCCCGGAGTTGTTCCTCGAGATCTTGCACCCTGGGTCACACACACACGTCGCCAGAAACAAGACGAAATCAAGATAACGGATGCGCGTTGAAAGAGTCACCTACGCTGAGCTTCATCGTGAATACACGGCGGGCCGAACAAACGGCATGAGAAGTACACAAACCAGCGCATTGTATGCGCACTGGACGACACTGACACGACCGTCTTGCGGACGGTACGCATGAGGCCGAAAAAAACATCAACACCATTTTTGTGCACCTTTTTCTGAGAAGGTCATTGGATATCTGGAACTCCGTCAGGACGCGTGTTTCTCCCAGGGTAACTACTCCCTCGGCCCCCTGGCTTCCCCTGTGGGTTCAACGAGAGAGAGCGACAATCGACAGAAAAAAAAAGGGTTGATTTGGTTGGGGGCGACCTTGTAGAGTACAACGGAGGAAGACACGAGACCTATGCGGCAACATGACTGCATCAATGCGTAGGTGGAATCATGAGCGACGGTTTGATTAATAGTCCGGTTCTTCTGAACACAAGGAAAAAAATACACCGGTCGGGAGTTGCGGTATTAATACTACTCATCCGTATACTGTAGAACGTCTACCCGAACTCGAGGCTCCGCAGGATACCGTTCATGGCAACTGTTTGCTTGATCCATGTACATGGGATCGTTTTGTCAATTTCTCCTTCTCACGGATGAAGAAACGATGGCAATTGTTTGCTTGACCCATGTACACGGGATAGTTTTGTCAATTTCTCCTTCTCACGGATGAAGAAACGATGGCAATTGTTTGCTTGACCCATGTACACGGGATAGTTTTGTCAATTTCTCCTTCTCACGGATGAAGAAACGATGGCAATTGTTTGCTTGACCCATGTACACGGGATAGTTTTGTCAATTTCTCCTTCTCACGGATGAAGAAACGATGGCAATTGTTTGCTTGACCCATGTACACGGGATAGTTTTGTCAATTTCTCCTTCTCACGGATGAAGAAACGATGGCAATTGTTTGCTTGACCCATGTACACGGGATAGTTTTGTCAATTTCTCCTTCTCACGGATGAAGAAACGATGGCAATTGTTTGCTTGATCCTGGTACACGGGATCATTTTGTCAATTTCTCTTTCTCACGGATGAAGAAACGATGGCAGCAACACCACCGCCGACAGACTCTTGCTGGTCGTACCGGTCCTCAAGGGGGGATGCTGCGTACTTCCTCCACAGCGCACGAAGGTTGCCGTTGTGCCTCATCACCCGGCGCATCAGTCGTCGTTGCTCTTCGAGCACAGACTCCATTTGCACTAGCCTGAACCAACAACAAGAAGAACAGGAGCAACAAGGGTTTCAGAGAAGACTCTTCTTACGCGAGCTTGCCGCATCAAAAACACACAACACGACCCTGGGGCGACAAACCTAGCACCATGCATGTACGAGCCTGCAGTCTTGCACTCTTTGGTAAGATGTCGGGGTGGCAACTGTCAGGGGTGAAATTGTACAACAAAGAAGCCTCCAGCAGTAATGTAGCAACAACATCTTGTTGCTTTGCGCTCCCGTTCCCAACCCCAGCAACTTCCTCACTAGCAACTCAACGTCTCGTATTGTTCTCTTCCGGGTATCTAATTTTCCTTTTTACATGTGTTTTTCCTCTCTCCCCCTCTTCCTCTCGTTGCCTCTGCCCTTCCACATCCCCCCCTCTCTCTCTCGTTCTCACCGTCTCGACTCCGTGGCATCCCACAAGTCCTCGCACTCCCTCTCCTCCCCGCCTTCCATCCCCACCAACGCTTGCACCGCCGTCTCAAGCTCCGACCACTCCGGCACAGTCGCCATCCCATCACCCCCCCCTGCCCCCGCCGCACCCCCCCCCC